TGCCCTGCATAACTGCCTCGGCGGAAGAGACATGCGACCACCTGATCAATACGTGGATAGCGAGACATGGCTGTCCGATGACGTTTCAATCGGATAATGGAACAGTTTTCGTAGGAGAGCTTACGAAAGAGCTTATGAGACGCTCACAGGTCGCTCAGGCTCACTCCACGACATACCACCCTCAGACGAATGGCTTAGTGGAAAGACAGAATAGGACGTTAGTGTCGATGCTGAGAGTATATTGTTCCAGGTCAATGACCGATTGGGACATATACCTTCCACAGGTGATGGGAGCATATAACAGCACGCAACACTCCACCACCGGAGTCAGTCCACACATGATACTAACTGGACACGAAAAGCCTCTGCTGTCGATGTCGCAAGTCGAGAACCAATCACTGTGTGGGCGTTGAAGTCTCCTAGGGCTGTTTTTCTTCAAGGATTCGTAAGATCAAACGTTTGTAGTAGAAATAGCGATTTATCGGGTACCTTAGGTTCCAGAGTTACTTCGACAGTCACCACAGGTACTTCCTCACTGACTCGTAGCTGAAGTTTTAACGCGGGTCTTGTATACATTCGCGAAAGTTAGTCAGCTACTGCAATTGCTTTTCCTGGAATATGACCCAATACGAACGTGAAAGCCATCAGCTGATCAACCACAATTGGGGTGGAATAATCATTGGTTAAAAAACTGATAATCTTTTGTTATCAGTTAACACGATTGTTGGCAATTTAGAAGCTCCGCACAGAAGTCAGCAAAAGATGAAAATGCAAAATGAACCACACGAAATTCTTTTGCATAGATGGACAGTTTAGGTTGTGCTGGGCCGAACGTTTTGCTACCAAACAGGACAGGTGCATACTTCTTTGTGATTTTCTCCCGCTGATCAAAGGTAGAATCTTTAATTTTTTTTGAAAAACTAAATTACAAAAGGGGACCTTCAGTTTAGTTACCGTAAGTGCACAAGCTAGATAGGGCCATACCAGCGATATAAAAATGCATATATATCAGCAATGAAGTCATACATCAGCATTAAATTCATCGTCGTAATGTTAATTTATCTTAGCCGTCCTTCCTCTACAATAGCGCTTATGGAGTTGTCGATAAATTGAACTTTGCGTAGTGATCTGCACCCCCTTATACAAAGTATAGAGCTCCTCAGGAGCGCGAAGCTTATTTTAGTTCTTATGTAGTTTATAGATTCTGGATAGCTTTCTTGTCTTTTTTCATTTAGTTTTTCGGCCAATCGCTGCATCGTCCGCGTGGCTGTTGGAGCAGCGCCACCGGTGCATCCAAGAATTAGCGGGCAGAAGCTACTCTGCTCTACGTTTAAAATTCTTTGCTGATATTTGGAGTTCTTCAGCGTTTCGTGGTATTTGTATGCATCCTTATGCAGTTTTCGCGATGTTTTGGCATGGGGGTTGAAAATTTTCACATCAAAGAAAGCGCGGCTGAATCGTGAACCCCAGAGTCCGTTTGCCTTAATGTCAAGTCGTGCCTCAACTTCAGTTGTAGTTGAATTGCTGACAAAGCTTTCGCCTTGCAACGGCTGAAGTTTCGGCTCAATCTCGACGTCATGGCAAACCTCGTTCATGAGGTTGGCGAACGAATGTGTCTCTAATTTCATTATGTCTTATATGTGTGTAACCACCCTTTGCACAGTGAAGCGCATGTATCAAATTAAAATCAGCACCACATGCACATGTGAGTGGGGTTTTTGGTTGGTTCCCATCCGTATCTTAAGTATATACCATCTCTCAACTCTGATTTATTCAGGTTGAATATGTATCTGCTCAGTGGTAGAGCATTGAGCCAGTTAGAGGCTCCCTTTTGATTGAGGCAACAGAGGCCAGGTCGATTGCGTATTTATCTGTTTCATTTAAGGAGTTAATGAGGTTTGTTTTTTTTTTCGATTCGTTCTATCAGTTTTCAATTTTTTGATTTTCGTACATATTTTTTCTTGCTGTGTTACTGCTGTAATAGGATCTTGAGATTCCAGTACTAGTGATGTTTCCTTAGACCATTCTAAGTAGCTTTCATGATCGGATGGCAGCTTGATGTTAAGTCCGCCCATTTTAAGGGGTAAGGAAGATATCTCACGGAACTGGGGGTTTAAAGTGTCTTTACCGACTAGGTTAGGTAATAATTGTTCTTTGATAATACTTTCACATATTTCTAAGTTTTCCATAGTGTTAGGCGTTGTCCTGGCAAGAAATGAAAGCTTTTCTTGAACTCCTTTAGTATAGCAGGCATAAACGTTTTGAGGGGAGGTTTTAGCGATTTTTGTTAGTTTTTTCAAAATTTTGATTTGCTCATTCTGTTGAAATTCGAGGAACATTTTACATTCAGATTCTAATCCTATAACTGAACCAAGCACTCGGGCTCCTGCCTTTATAGTGATTCCTGTATTTGCGAAGATTTTCTGAGCTTTACCGAGTTTTTCATCCTTGACAATGAGTTGGCATTTGGATGTTTTCACGTGGTAGCCGAAAAATTTACCCAGTGATACAATTTTATCGAGGACGGTTCGTAGATTGCTTAATTTGCCGACTGCTTTTCCGTCGTCTGCGTACCATTTCTGGGTTACATCGTCTACTGATAAAAGTTTTACTAGGGGTATTATGGCTAAACCGTACATGGCCATTGCTAGTGGATCCCCCTGGGTTGTCCCTTCTTGAGAGTAGATTGTTTTTTTTGTTAACGAATAGTTTAGATGGATTGGAGTAGGAGTTCTTAATCGCTGTTAAAAGGGAAGGGCAGGTATTTTCGATGTTTTTTAATGCCAGCTTTCGATTCAGCGAGTTGAAAGCGTTTTCGGCATCTATCAGTAAAACAGCATCGGCGGAAGTTTTGCTGTATTGATCTCTTAGCGTGTGGATCGTATATTCAATGCCACATTTTTGTCCTAGGCAGAGTTGGTAGTTTGAACCGAGCGACATGAGTTCGTTTTTTAGGCATTTAGTTATTGTTCGCTCTATTATCCTACGCATAACTTCTCCTATGCCTATAGGTCTTACCCCTGGATTCTTATCTAAGGGTATTAATCTGCATGCGTTATATGGTTCCATTAGTTCTGGACTTAGTTCTTCTGTGGCTAATTTTTTGGCAATTTTAGCAATTGTTTATGAAAATTCAACTGATTGTTGCCCGAAGTGTGTTAAAATACGTGTCCATTCATTTGCATCGAGGCCAGATGGTCCATGCGATCCGTGCGTTCTCATGGCTGCCTTTTTGATATGTTGACCGTTTATCTGATCAAATATCGATGGATGGAAAGGAATTGTTTCGTTTGAGACTGGTGTTATATAGTTCTCATCAATTGGTTCAGATGGTGGGTGTTTCTCTATGAGAGTCTGTTCTACTGTCCTATCTTTGACAATCTCGTCGAGCGAAAGAACGCCTTTAGATGTGTCTGTTAGTTTTGCAATTGCGCTTGATATTTTTCCAGTATTCATTAGTTTGTTGAACTGTTGTGCTTCAGTTTCAGTTTTTCTTCTACTTCCTTTCAACAAGTGCATTTGCAGCGCCTTTCCTTCGTTATATAGTCCATCCAGGTCTCCGTCTTGCCATTGCTTAAGTCGCCTTGCTTTTGTTTTGGATAAAGATCCATCAATTTTGGACTTTGTTTTGCACAGTAATAAGTGTGGAAAAATCATTGCTGCGTGCATTGCGAAGGTATTTTTGTTGTTTTCTATTAGGCTGTTCAAAGTTCTATTGAGGGTTTCAATGAAGTTATAACCAACTTTATTTTTTGACAAGATCATAAAGACCGGTTTCCAGTGGACCACTTCGGTGTATATTTTCCTGGTGGTTTCTATGAGTTCTGGACAGGGGTTTGACCATGGGTCTTGTATTGTTCTAGGTTCTATAGTGGAAGACTCTCCTGAGTTTTGTGAGTGTGGGGCAGTCGAAGGGTGCATTTGGGGGAGCGTGGTTGTAGCTAGGGTTGGGGGATTGCTCATGCTTGTCGTTAGCTGAATGAAATTGGGAGGTGCAGCGATGACAACTGAAATCGTCATAGTGATCACTGCTGCGGGCTAGGCCGCTGCATTTTACTTGCATGTAGCCTGGGCATGTGAAGCACCAAACACCTCCGCCTCGCAGGCTGCTTTTACAAATAAGGCAGTGTGTTTGAGTAGCCATTTTAGGAAGCACGGCGGTGTCAAGTTAGCGAGAGAATCTATAGATTAAACTTGCAAGAAAATTTGTAAAGAAATCATTACCGTAGAACGAGAAATGGATGCCATCACGACAGAACATTTGAGGGATAGGTTTAGGTTGAGGTTAGGCGAAACAATAAGTGTATGGGGGTGTACAAATCTATTTATCAAATTAAACAGCACATAATTATGAGTATAAATTTTGCGGTTTACTTCGGAATTATTACAGTTCTGAATTGTTTTGGGGATGATCAGTGTCTTGGGCTGAATTTTGTTAGTGACAAGGTTAGTCAAGTTTTTCCACTGCTGTTCTAATTCTTGTGGATGCAGCCTGTTGTCATTGTATCCAGCAACTATTGTTACTGTTTTTAGGCGCTTTGGTCTGTATTGTAAAACTGTTTCAAACAGATCATGAAGCGTTGCGCCGCGGTAGGAGTGAATTGTTGATTTTACTAGAGCTGGTTTGATATATTTGTTCCTTGAAGTCCCGATAACTAGTTTCTGTGAGAACTCAGGGATGCGTCTTGCCTGGAATCGCGGCATCAACCTGAAACACAGACAACTGAGGCGAGAAAGGAAGCTCTTTGGGGTGATCTATGAATACTTTCACTTAGGGTTTAAAATTGCTGAGGCAAAGGCGATTAAAAAAAAGAAAGGAGTGGTACAACCTGACGTCGATTTGGAGGTCGATTCACCAGCTCACTCCTTCTTGCGTCTAGTTACGCCAGGGAAACTTCACTCGCCTACGGCTGGGACGGCGAGATTTGTAAGATAACCAGAAGAGGAAAGCCCAGCGCGCATATGATATGAAAACACACAATCGGTAAATTTGAACAAAGAACTATTTAATAAGTTTATCACAACAATTAGGCTAACTAGGTAGAATCTTTAATCATGAGTACATAGCCTGCTGCATAAAAGCTCGCATTAGTCATAAATAAATATTGACAGTCTGGAATTGGCAAATGTAGTGCAAGGTCACAGGCTCGCTCGAGGTCTCGTTTTAAGATTTTCAAGTTTCTATCATGTTCCGTTGTTAAGATAATTTCTTTGTCTGCAAAGAAGGCGATGGAACGGGAGAAGTTTTCTCGTGAGGTCTGAAAGATATGCTTTAAAAAACACCAGGAACCCAATCAAGTGCTGAACCTGGATTATGTTGCTCATTCCGGATAAGGACCGGATAAGATCGGGAACTTACTTCTGAAGAGTCTCTCCAAGTCACTGCCGAAATCACTGCACTTACTGTTTAACCTCATCGCAAATAAAGCCCGATTTCCGGAAAAATGGAAAGTCAGTGAAATTGCACCAATACTCAAAGATGGAGATAAACAAGATGTGAATAATTACAGGCCTATCAGCCTGCTTTCAACAGTTTCAAAACTGCTAGAGAAACTGATTTTCGAGAAGCTGACTCCAATTGTTTACCCAACTCTGGCATCAGCCCAACATGGTTTCAGACCCAAACGGTCAACTATAACGAACCTTATAGAATATCTACATGAAATCTATAGCTGCTTAGAGTCTGAAAACTGCTCCTATCTGAATATCTTCTATATAGATTTCGAGAAAGCGTTTGACAAAGTCACGCATGAGCTTCTCATACAAAAATTGGCTGCTCTGGGGATTGGTGGAAACTGTTTGAATCTATTAAGAAGCTACCTCTATAAACGGAAGCAAACTGTGAGACTAAATGACACTGTTTCAGATGAATTAGAAGTATTCAGTGGCGTACCACAAGGCTCCATCCTCGGACCGCTCTTCTTCTTGGTTTTCATAAACGATCTTCCATCATGTGTCATGTCCAAATCGTTCGGTTATGCTGATGACTACAAAATTGTAGGCGACAACCCTTTAACACTGAATATAGACGTTAGAAAACTGTGGCGGTGGTGTGACGAAAATTTCATGTCAATGAACTTAGGAAAAAGTAAAGTGCTCTGCCTTAAAGGTACAGCTCCTATTGCACTGCCAAACCATGAATTTGAAACAACTGAATGTATGAAAGATCTGGGAATTCTCGTAAATGACACACTCTCGTGGACTCTGCATGCAAAGAAAAGGACCGAAAAAGCCTTGAACGCTCTCTTCATCCTAAAACGGAATCTTTCAAAAGCGACGTTTTGGACCAGAAAGAACGCATATATCTGTTATGTTGTGCCAATTTTAAACTACGGATCAGCCCTCTGGAAACCATCAAAAGGCGACTTAGGTACTCTTGAAAGTATCCAGCGAAAAGCAGTATCATGGATCTTCATCACAAACAACATATCCTATAAGGATAAGCTCCTGAAACTCGATATCCTTCCAATCTCCTTATATCAAGAACTTCATGTTAATCTCTTGTTTGCCAAAATACTAACCGGAAAAGTTGACATAGACTGGCGTAGTCAAGTAACCATCACAGACATCGGTACTCGAAGAACACAAGCAACACGAAATTTTGCCTGCCAACAAATACGTCTGAAGAAGTGTGAATCAGATTACTGGTTTCGAGCTTGCCGTCTGGCCAACCTTTTTAACGATTACTTCATATTTGACATAATCTTTGATCCAGGATGCAAAATTAAACTGCTGGAAGTTTATACGAAGTTCTTCAAAACCCGCTACAACGAAGCAGATTCATGCACTTGGCGGATATTATGTGGCTGCAACAACTGTAGAGATTTGAAGAAACTTAACTTTAACAACTGAAACACGAACGTTGAACCTCCCAATCACTGGGTTTTATGCGAACCCTTGGATTAGTCCTAAATCCTTTGTTATTATTATTATTATTATTATTCCTGGTAACACCAGGAACTGTTCATCTTCTATGAGATTTGCATAAAAGCTGAAATAAATGGTGATGCGGAAGAGAATAGGAACTATATTTTTGATTGCTACCTGGGCAAATTTGGCTCGGCTGAACTTATTCCGCTGGTAAACGCTTTTTAGATTTCAAAGACACTAGTGCAAATGACAAAAGAAATACATGCACTGACCGGTGTGGCAGATTTAGTTTTTTAGGTCAAAAGACCCTGAAGTGCTCTGCTGTTCTGACAGCTTGTCGAAAGTCATAGACTGATTTCTGTTTCGCGGAGGTCACTTCGTGCATTCCCGAACCATATGACTAGGCTCTCCACAGTATCGACAAACAGGTTGCCCACTGGAGGTACAAGTATTAGGCATTGGTGCACTCTGACGAGGTACCAACTGTCCTGATTGATCCATGGCAAATCCAGGTCGTTTTGGACGCTGATTGAATGAATTCTGGTTCGTGAAACTTAGATAGCCCGCTGCATAAAAGTTCGCTTCAGTCAGAATTTCATATTGACGGTCTGGAAGTGGCCTAATTCAAGGTGACAAGCCCGCTCGAGGTCTCGTTTCAAGACTTTCAAGTTACTATCATGTTCCGTTGTTAAATCGAACTCTGTCTGTGCGAAGAAGGCGATAGAACGGGAGAAGCTTTCTCGCGAGATCTGGAATATATTCTTTCGAAAACATCAGGAACCCATTCAAGCGCTGAAATTGTTTAACATTGACTGGAGGTTTAAGGTCCCTCAGGAAGTTTTGCACTTTGAATCGATTCGAGGTCATGGCGTTGGATGAGGTGAAGTCATCCAAGAAAACAATTTGGGGTTTTCCGAATTTGAATTTATTGATGGATAGATTCAGACCTGCTGCGCGTATTCTGGAAAAAATACTGCAAATGTTTGCAATCATCACGGCTGCTGTGTGAGTTGCTGATCCTACTTCGGTTGATTCACATGCTGATCCACATAAACCAAACACCTGTCTGCTCTAATGCACGAATCGAAGTATTGACGGATAAATGAGCTGAAATCACTCACTGTATGTTTGCAACTAACTGTGCTTTCGGCATAATGCCTCTCAATTCAGGTGCTGCAAGAATTGCATTTCGGGCAGCTGCTTGCGCCGCCTGTGCATTTCCCAATGCAGCCCTAGCGTCGGCTACTGCTGCGTCTAAGTCTGCTTGTGTTGCCATTGTTCTCTCTGATCAGTCAATACGGATCGAAGTATTGACGGATAAATGAGCTGAAATCACTCACTGTATGTTTGCAACTAACTGTGCTTTCGGCATAATGCCTCTCAGTTCAGGTGCTGCAAGAACTGCATTTCGGGCAGCTTTCGCAGCTGCTTGCGCCGCCTGTGCATTTCCCAATGCAGCCCTAGCGTCGGCTACTGCTGCGTCTAAGCCTGCTTGTGTTGCCATTGTTCTCTCTGAGGAAAACTTAAAGAAGAATAAATTTTTATTCAGCGAAAAATAGAAAATTATAATTTTTCGAGTCTGAATTTTACAATATTTTAGCCTTTAAGAGCGGAAAAAAAATCGAAATTTTTGTTAATTTAAGTTATATTTCCGTAGGAACAAGTACAGTCATTCGAAAAAGCCGAGTGTCGAAACAAATTTTATAACCAAATTTATGAAGCAATTGCGCGGCCGAGCAATTGAAGATTCTTTGAGGAAAACCTTGAAATTTATCTATTGTATTTTAAATGCGGGCTTCACTATCTCGCCATGTTTAACAAAAGAATTTTTTCACGTTTAAGCTGTATCGTATATTGCAATGGTTAAAATTTTTTCTCCATTTTCCTGGTTGAAATCAGTGTTTACTACTTCACCAGGTTTGAAAGTAGCAACCCAATAGTGAGATGCTGTCAGGGTTTCCCCGGATGTTGCGATTTTGGCCTCCATATATCAATAAGCAATTCTTTTAGGCTACGAGATACGGCAATTTTCGAGATTTTTCAAAAATTTCTAGAAAATGTAATTTTTAATAGTTTGTGAAAATTTGAAATTCGCAAACCTGTAGTTGGGGGATGTCATGGTAGTCTCAGGGGTTGCTAATCTTGCCTCCAAGGCTTATTTCTCAAATCCTTGTAGTTTTCGAGATATGACGTTTTTTTTAATGATTTTTTCAAAAATTCTCAGAAAACCTAAGATTTAAAAATTTAAAAACTTTGAAATTCTCAATCCTGTAGTTGGAAGCTGAGAGGCGAATCTTGCCTCTGAATATGACTGCTCAAATTCTTGTAGTTTTTGAGATTTGATGTTTTTTAGGATTTTTTTTGAAGATTTTTAAAAGAACTTAGATATAAATAATATCACAAAGTTTGAAGCTCCCACCTCTATAGTGAGGCTCTGTCAGGGTACTCCCAGGAGTTGTGAATTTTATCTCCAAATATGATTGCTGAAATCCTTGTAGTTTTCGAGATATGACGTTTTTTGTGTAATTTTTTTTTCAAAAAGTTTTCAGAAAACTTAAATATATTTTTTTTTTCAAATTTTGAAGTTCCTAACCCCCTCTAGTTGGGGGCTGTCAGATCACTCTCAGGGATTGCCAGAGATCTTGCCTCCAATTTTATTTCTTCTAAATTTGAATTTCCCAACCGTTTAATTGGGGCTGTCAGAGTGATCTCAGGTGTTGTGAATCTTGCCTCCAACTGTGACTGCTTTAGTCTCTGTAGTTTTCCAGATATGACGGTTTTTGTTATTGTTTCGAAAAATTTTCAGAAAACTTAAATATATATTTTTTTCAAATTTTGAAGTTCCTAACCCCCTCTAGTTGGGGGCTGTCAGATCACTCTCAGGGATTGCCAGAGATCTTGCCTCCAATTTTATTTCTTCTAAATTTGAATTTCCCAACCGTTTAGTTTGGGGCTGTCAGAGTGATCTCAGGTGTTGTGAATCTTGCCTCCAACTGTGACTGCTTTAGTCTCTGTAGTTTTCCAGATATGACGTTTTTTGTTATTGTTTCGAAAAATTTTCAGAAAACTTACATTTTTTTTCTTCAAATTTTGAAGTTCCTAACCCCCTCTAGTTGGGGGCTGTCAGATCACTCTCAGGGATTGCCAGAGATCTTGCCTCCAA